TTTCACTGTTTTGACAGCTCTATGGACATTTCGAACAACAAATGAGATGAGATGAGCCTAACTTTAGGATTTCCTATTTACAAAAATGTAAATGTTTCTCCCGAGGTAAATCAGGAAGATAGGATTTCTTTAAGATCCTTAAATAGCTAAACATATCCAATTCAGGAAGATATGAAACCCTCAAGATCCTTAAATAGCTAAACATATCCAGTTCGGACACTAGCACTATATTCAATAGACGTGTTTCGATACTTGTTTCTCTGTGTATATGATCAAAACATTTACAATTCAAATTCATAATAAAATCCTGTTTCTTTTAAAACAAAAATGTCTAGCATATTTCCATATAAACCCATGGAGCAAATGAATTGTTGAAATTCAGTCATCAGATTTCTTTTTCTTTGAAAGTGGTGGGGGTACATCCACTCGACATAAATTAAATCATTTCGAACCAAACACATGGTTCAATTGTTTTTCAAAATGTCGCTTGCGCTTATATAGGCGTCTTTAGCTGTAGGAGGAATCGTGCACGTTGTATCATAAGGTCTGTGATTGAGTCAACTGGCGTGGTTTCGATTCCCCGGTTGTACCTGACGAGGAGTAGGGTCGCCTGTCCAACCTCATGGGGTTTCTCCATGTCCTGCGGTTTCTTCCTACTGCTAAAAAAACCCATGCGCATGCGAATTATTGAAGTAAAATTGAACCATGTGTTAGTCCCGAAATTACCTAGTTTGTATTTCTCTCTCTCTCTCTCTATTTCAATATTACGCGTGCTCTCAATTTTCAAGCATATGGTCGACTTCACACACACTGGCTTCTGCGGTCGAATGCACACCGTGTTATCTAGTCTCCTTCTCCAAATTGTTTCTATTTTTAGTAACAGCGTAATGTTAAAGGTCGTGTCTTGCAATTAATATTTTCACAAACTAATGTCTTTTCCCCAATCACCATACGTCTTCCAACTGGCCCTAATATTGTAATATTACCATATATCTACCGTCTGGTCATTGTAATATCACCATATATCTACCATCTGGTCATTGTAATATCATCATATATCTACCATCTGGTCATTGTAATATCACCATATATCTTCCGTCTGGCCATTGTAGTATCACCATATATCTACCATCTGGTCCTAGTCATTGTAATATCACCATATATCTACCATCTGGTCATTGTCATTGTAATATCACCATATATCTACCATCTGGTCCTAGCCATTGTAATATCACCATATATCTACCATCTGGTCCTTGTCATTGTAATATCACCATATATCTACCATCTAGTCATTGTAATATCTACCATCTAGTCATTGTAATATCACCATATATCTACCATCTGGTCATTGTAATGTTACCATATATCTACCATCTGGTCATTGTAATGTCACATATTATTTACTAACTAGATGAAATAAGACAACCACGATGTACTTTTGCTCTAAAAATAAGAGAAAAACTGCCTTACCCCCAACTATAACAAATCTCCCAAGGCCAATCAGTTTTGCACAGCAGCGTAGAAACCCCAAATAATTTTCCGCGTCATAAAGTATAGTATTATCGTCATTTATTTTTTTTTAAATTCAATATTTTGTGGAACTCTTGTGGTGAACAACGCAACACATCCAAAACATTGTCTTGTGGTGAACAAAGCAAAACATCCAAAACACTGTATCATAATTATTCTAAGTCGAGAATCTTGTTGAATGTGGTACCACACAAGAATAGAGGGCAAACTCTTGTGGTAAAAACACCACAGACCCAAAACATTCTACGAAAACTCTCGCGACATGATACCACACAGGTATATAGGGGGTCTGAGGAGAAGTTTGTGAACAAAATGATTGTTTTTTTTATGTCAAATATCTTGTGGAATTCGTGTGTTAAAAAAACACCAGAGAATAAAATGATATTTAACGTCAACTCGACCAAAATAGACCATTAGGGACTAGCGTGCATGTAAGGTACAATTTTATTTCAATAATTCAATAATTCGCTTGCTCATAAGGGGTCTTTAGCTGTGGGGGCAAACCGGGAAACCCCTAGAAAACCCACGAGGCTGGACTGGCCGCCTTAATCCTTGTCACGTACACGAGAAAGCACTCCACTCAATGACAGACTTTATTATTTATTGCACAGGCGTTAAAACAACTGGCCTCTGACCCCCCGGCGTATTAAATACCACCGCCGTTATCTTTTGTGCTGAAATGTGTAAATAGGTGTGATTGGTTGGCCTTCTATCGAGAATAGACACGTCACGACATCACGGAATGGATCCACCATATTAGGTTTGTTTACACGTGCGCTGATTATAAATCCGTATTTTATGAATATGCCATTATCAAACGCATCGGAAAGCTCGTATATTTACGTCTGGCGCACAGCCAGTTTCTTCATCGACAGATCTGTCACAAGATCGTTAAATATAACGATTTATTGTTAAAATACCAAGAAAGCCTGATGTTGATATATCTAAAGACAGAGAAAATATGATAAAAATGTGATCTAAAGTTACAGTGAGATTATTGACAGATTAAAACAGCATCAAAAAATAAATTGAGTGGTGAATCACTCGGTATGTTAACCATCTTTATAATTTTGACATCATGACACATTGTGAAATGTGCGAGAGCTTCGATGTGGTTATCGTGACTTGTCAAGTCATCAATTTATAGATTTATAGAGAGAGAGAGAGAGAGAGAGGGGGGGGGGGTAACGGCCACTCGACACAAACTAGGTCGCGTTGGGGTCTTTAGCAGTGGGAGGAAACAGGAGGACCCGGAGAAAACCCAAAAGGTTGGACAGGCGCCCCTACTCCTTGTCACGTACAACCGGGGAATCAATGACAGACCTTATGATTTGTACAGAATGTTGTCAAGAAAAGTAAAATAGACGCTTATATTCAATCTGATGAGCATCAAATGATGACTTTATTTCAATAAAGATACATTATGTAAAATTTAGATAAAGAGCTGGCCATTCTTACTATAATAGTTCGAAAATAGAGGAAGTAAAATGAATATATTGAAAATTCCATTCAATTTGCTCCATTGCGAGCGAACATATTAGCTTTTAAAGGTTTGACACGATGTGTGCATTAATTGCAACCACCGTACTGGTTGTTCGAAGCTTAGCCCCGCTTCACCATTTTTAAATTAAATTAAAATATAACTGAACCGTTCTTATTTACTTAATATCGGAGATATCCGATGGCATCGAAAGTTGATTATGATCTTGTCGTGTTAATAAATGTCTAATTAATAGTTTATATAACATTTCAGGCCAAATATATGTTTAAATAAGTCAATATTTTGAAATTAAAATAGTAGGTAAAATTCAATCTGACTAGCAGTAGGGTTGTTGATGACGTTATTTCATTATATTACGCAACATTTAGAAATTAGTTGCAGATGAAAGAAACTGCCTCTTCTGTGAACTAAATTAAATAGGGGTTAACTTCTTTCTGTGTTAATGAAGACGGGCATATAGTGTGCTATGACGGAAATGCCTACTCGTATTTTAAACTCCAACTATTTTTTTTACATGCATGCCAAGGGGGAACTAGGCCGGAAAAAAACCCCAAATGAACTTTTTCGACCAACATCGGGATCAAACACGAGACCTCCAGGTTAGCGAACCAACGTTTTACTCACTCAGCAGTTACGCTAAATCTTGTACACATTATGATGCCGACTGGTCTGTCAGCAAATTGGTGGAACATGTGCCCTAAATGTATTCAATATACCTCGATTCCATTGAATACCTAAACGTTTCTTGATCGATTTAGACCACTCAGTTTGAGACTACTCTTTTATACATTTCACAGATGTGGTTACTTGTATAGTTGAATTTTAGTACAATATGCTTACATTCGTATTTCTTGTAGCATATAACAGATCATGAATCATACTGGCATTCGCAATGGTTTCTTTGGGTTGTATTCCTGATTGTTTTCAATTCTGGGTGAAGTCTGTGTCACTGCAGGCCCAGGACTGTACTGCGCAGTGGACGCTTACGGCTAGCCCCCGAATCCATTCACTTTTTTTTGAGTTGTTTGTTTATTTGTGGTTTCTGAGTATGATGTCTTGTCCATGTATTTGTTTCTGTGTAAATTATGTGTGGTGCAGTCCCCCTGCACTTACTATTAGTACTGAGAAAACTTCACTTAAAAGATACAATATGTAAGATTTAGATAAAGAGCTAGTCATTCGTAGAATAGTAATTTAAAAAATAGATAATGAAACATTATTTTATCGTAGCAACGGTAGTGGATATTCAAGATTTAGTCTCGCTTGCCCATTTTATCGTTACATTTGTAAACCTGGAGGGCGTCCTAACCCATCTAAATCTCTGCCATCCGATAGTCTAGGGAGTTGATCTTTGCCTAAGTAATAGTTTATATAACATTTGAAGTCACAATAGAGACACCCAATAAACAGGTTTAGCTCTTACATCATGCATCTTTAATACATGCGCCAACATCTATTTATATAGTCTGATACCAGGGTATTGATTGTATTTTAGAACGTGACCAGATTGTCTTCATCTCGCATTGTTATCTTTATAAGATATTTGAATTTTTGGTTTGCAACCCCCCCCCCCCACCACCTTGGGATCTATAACCTGTCGTGTTTTGCTAGAGCATGATTATTTTACACATGGTCGTTAAGTACATGTAGTTCACAAGGAACACCACACACGATATGTTACGAAACATTAGAGCGGAGTCCAGCGGGCTGCCAAATCCTGGAATGGGAAGTGAATTTGTTATAAGAACGGATGTATTACCGAGTGTTTCACAAAGGCCACGTGCGCGAAAATATCTATCCATTTTTAAAGGTGTCCACAAGCATGCATTAATATCAAATTGACGTTAGACAGCCTGCCAGTTAAACAGACATCGTGAAATAAAAGCTTACTTTAAAAAAAACTTTGAAGGTGTCAAGAGACAGGTGTTGTTATCAAAATAATATATATAATATACAGGATTGGATAGCAATATTCATATATGGCTGTATAATCGCCAATATTTTGTCATAGCTTAGAACTTACAGCATTTCTGATCAATGATGAAAATGGTATGTTATTTTCTTATTTTCTAATAGTTTATAATGATTTCATAAGGACTGGAATGTGATGTTGAAACATCTTTAAATAAGTTTCGCTTTAGACAAAGCTCATTAATTAAACTCACTCGCTGTACCTTTATTGGAAACCCATGGACTGGTTGTCACATGTCCAGAAACCATCACTAGAATTAGGTATAAATATCGACAGGTACGCTTATTGTTTCTACAGCTTCCCATTCAAGGAGATCCGTAACATTATCTTAGTGATAACAGAGATCAGTTTAGTAAATATATGGTTTATTTACATCAGAACAGAATATAACACATCTACATACAACACACAACTTAAACTAATACACAGAAACTAGACTACATCGGGAACTAAACTACGACAGGAACACATATAACAATATTAAATCTATCATTCTGCCCCTCTGTCAAGGCAGCGGCTGAACTCGGGCGAGTCCATTCGCCGGTCTTCCCGTCTCAGCTCGTCTCGTTCGTTCGTTCGTTCGTTCCTAGAGTTTTACGTTCACTTGCACCAAGGGTGATATCGTAGACAAAATGGTTCCTAAGACACTTACTGGAGGAAGCCATAGGGAATAGGCTTGGTCCAGTTTAATTTTAAGACGTAGTGTCTTTGCAAGGGAATGCCCAAAGTAAATCTCATCGAAAGGAGAAAGTTTGGGGAGTGCGCAGTCTGACCCGCTTTACCATTGATGCTACGACCTTAGTTAGGGTAGGTAAGTTGGTCTGACGGTCAACCGGGCCCTAGGGCCCGCCGCCTGTCCGACCTAGATGTTGAGTGTATAGATGCTGTGACCTTAGGGTTAGTAGTGATCGGTATGAATGTCAACCGGGCCCTAGGGCCCGCCGTCTGTCTATCTTAGGTTCAAGGATGCAACAATGTTTTCGGGCCAGGCATTGTCGTGCCATAGACCATGGTCGTCTCGTATCTGCGTCTGGTTATATAGTCCCAATTGCACTGATCATTTCGTTTGAAGTCATTATCAGATCATGGTATGATTACTGACCAGTGCGTATTCCTTTGAAGTAATGTGGAGCTTGTACATAGATCATACGTAGTTTGTAAATGACATATGGGATTAATTACATGTTTAATTAGATCATAACCAGTCTATGCCTTAACAGAAGTTTATGCAGAAGTTGAAAAGTCAATATCATATATTATCAAAAACCAGCTGAGGTCATAAAGTTCTAAGCACCTAAATGATCGTTTAATTTGATGAAAGTTGTAGAATACGTTGTTACATAATATTTGCCTACTTATGCGCAGGACATTTTCAGACCATTAATTTCTTATAGACGGTGAACGATGAAAAACCCGCAACAAACCTGGAATATACTATCAGGCCACAAAAAACATTTTCTTTAGTATCTTTTAATGTTTCAGATTACGTCTATCAATGCTTGCCATTCCGTTGTTGGTTCTCGTCCTAAATGTAACTGTTTGACCCAGAGTGGACGTTGATGTCAGGAAAATATTTCCTTTATTCGCTAGTATGGCCACTGCTTTGATGGTCTTCGTCCTATGTGTAACCTTTTTAATGTTGTTTCAGGTGGTGTCTAGTATTACTACCACGATGTTGATCTTCGCCCTATGGGTAATTGTTTTACACGGAGTTGAAGTTGATGTCGAAAGTAAGTCTCACAGAACATCATGTTAGACAACAATGGTTTGCTCCCACTTTAAAATGTTATTAAAATAACATTTTAAAGTGGGAGCTCATCAGAAATAATGTTATCGAACAGTACGTTTAAGAAAAAAGCAATCAAGAGGGACACTATCAACATGATAATACTCAATAGTGAAATCATATCACATATCTATAAAAGAGTTAAAAATTATATTTTAGTATTTCAGTAATCTATGGGTATAAAAGAGTCAATATTATATTTTAATATTTCAGTAATCTATAGGTGTAAAAGAGTTAAAACGAAGAAACCGTGTATTATAATAAGTTAAAACTTATTTCAGTTACATGTAATAAACCGTGTCTACACGGTGGTGAGTGTGTGTTATCACCTGATCTGTGTTCCGGCTTTAAACAAACATGTGCCTGTCCACTATCTTATACTGGGGAATTCTGTGAAAAGGTCGTACTCAGAGGTAAGGTAACTTAATTGCTAGCGGTGTTGTGGTGCCCTTGGTCCTAATTCTTGGAAAAGTTTGATCGTTAGATTAACTTCAATGTTTTTCCTCATATTTTCAAACTGACGCTCCTCCTGAAATATTATTTCATGAGACAACGTTCCAGGATAAATAAAATGAAATGAAATGGGGATTAACGTTCTACTGTTTTGCTGGGATAATGAAGACGGGCATACACCTAGCAGTGTACTGTGAGGGAAATTTTGCCCGGGCTGCTCCGACTGGACTTATGTGTAGCACCATGAAAGCGGACGTTGTCAAACCGGTCGCCACATCCTACGTATGACCCATGTATCTTTTCTTACTACATATTTTAGTAGCCTTGTGATCGTCTAGTATTTTCACTTGTCGTCTTTGCTCCCCCTTCACGTTGTGTATGTACTTCTTACTCTTTTCTTAAGACGTTTGTCTTTCCAGAAATAACAATGCAACAGTTCGTTTTTTTACATTTTATATATCATACATGGATACAAGCATAGTATAGATTACAATACTAAAGTCATTCTCAAACACTAGCCAGCCAGGCTTGCTGGGCAAGTCTGCTGATAGAAATTGCTACATCTTTTCCCTTCCAGAATCTGTCTGTTGTCTGGCGATTGCTCACAAATATTAGTTTTGTAGCTTGGGTTTTGACGTTCAATTATCCAATTGGTCAAATATGATGTAAATAATCAAAGAGATTAGTCAATTTAGGCTTGTGACGTTGAAACCCACACTTATATGGAAAATGGAAATATACCGAAGAAACTTCCCACAAGATATATGTTATCAACCTAGAACTGAATGTTTAGCACAATATGTCATTCATTCACTAAGTTGATTTAAGTACATACTACATATATGTGAATCTAATAACTTGCCAAAGATATTAATTAATACAATATAATGCCATCATTTGTCTCTATTTCTTGTCTATAAATTTGAAAACAATGTAGCAACGACAATATTTCTACAAATAAAGACGGGCATACACCATACAGTGGAACCCAGCATTAGCTCAGTCAGTTCAGATAAGTAGGACGTCAAACTCTATTTCATTTCATTAACCCTCTCTCATGGGTATTCTGGATGGAACTTTGAGTTGTGTTTAGTGTCAATCTTTATTTCATATAACTTAAACCGTAGTGACGCTGTCCGGGCCATATGTATGGCATATATGTCCGTTTTCATTAGCAAAATGACCTTTAGCACACATGGAGCTTATACGGTAAATATCCGAAATGTGGACCACTTCTAGGGTTATATACACATCATTATATATTTTTTTATTTCATGTTTTTAAATTACAGTAAATTGTGATAAAGATTGTCAGAATGGCGGTCAGTGTGTAGTCAAGGTAACGGAAAATACCTGTACAACTGTCAACAAAACCTGTTTCTGCCCACAAAACTATCTTGGAGATTTGTGTCAAACATTTGTTCGTAAGTGTTTACTGACTAACGTGTTCTAATTAAATTTGAAAATGTGACTGAATAGATATTACAAACATTAATGTATCTGAGGGCTTTAGGAATATTCCAATTTCGTTTTAATTAAAGGGACATTATGGGAGATTAGATAAAGAGCTGACAGTTCGCACTATAATACTTTAAAACTAAATAATGTAATTGGAATTTGCTGAAAATTTCTGTCAAATTGTTCCACTCCGAACCGAGATATTAGCTTTTGAATTTTAGGCCTAGGGTCGATCATCATTACCGAAGTCGGCACGATAAAAAAAACAATGTCTCGATTATCCATGTTTGGATTTAATCATCAATGAGCGTTGTGCAGAAGATTTAGCTCTTGCATAATATATGTTTAAAGGCTGTACGAAAGGTTGACAAGAATTTACAAATGCCTCAAAGGAAGTTCAGAGATTGTAAAGATCACATGATAAGATTCTAATAGGATTGATTTTTCAGCAGCACTTATAAAATCGCAAACCATTTTAATAACATGACGGAAGTGTCGATTTAGATGCTTGGTAAATCACATCATTTCGTATTGATAATTGTGTCGTAGATTACATCATATAGCGCCATATACGTCAGAAAAATATACGTTTTATTACCATATATGGCGTTATCAATCTGATTAAAACACAGATCTATATTTCGTCTTTTTTATACTTTCGATGGCCTACACTGCATTACGATCTGACCAGATATTTTTGGAGGTCGTGTCCTAGGTCATACAAGCGGCTGTTAACCCTATGACGCCAGACATTTGATTATCCAATCAACATTGATGTTTTTAGTGGATTACCTACAGTTCCATGCACCTCACACCAAACGCTTGCCGTATCAGACCGTTTCATTGACTAATCCCTCACATCATACAGAACACGTCAATGATAACAACCCTTGCAGATCCTAGTGTAGTAAAGACAAGTAAAACGAAATTTTGAACTATAAAAAAAGCGAAACAAAATAGGATCTGTTTTTTAATCAGATTGATGGCGCGATATATTACAATATACGTTTTTATTACCATAAACAACACAAAACTAACACTCAATTTGTTTTTCACCGTCAATAACTATAGCTTCTACGGCGTCATGTGACCCTCCCTGTACAGCTGGTCATGGCGAATGTGTTGTCCTACGAAATTCAGAGTTAGCACCTCACTTGACAGATCGAGCCTACTGCAACTGTACAACGTCAGGAACAGGATATTACTATGGGAAGCAATGTCAACATCATCAACACAATGGTACGTTTTATTAAACATTGATGAGAGAGGGAGAGGTCATTTCAGGACTAACATATGGTTCAATTTTATTTCAAGAATTCGCTTGCGCGTAGGGGTCTTTAGCAGTGGAAGGACCCGGAGAAAACCCACGAGGTTGGACAGGCGACCCTACTCCTTGTCATGTACAACCGGGGAATCGAAACCGCGCCAGTTGACTCAATGGCAGACCTAATGATACAACGCGCACGCGCTAACCATTCGGTCACCCAAACCCAATATTATTGCCTTATTAATTTTATTGATTGGTATATTTTGTTTATCAACAGTACCCTGTGACCCAACATGTAAAAATGGCGGTGAGTGTACTGTTACTGGTAGGTGTAATTGTCAAGGAACTTCTAGAGGTTACGATCCAGGAGACTGTAGCATGTTTTCCACAGGTAATTATACGATCACAAATCGTGTCCTTCCAGTGGAGGGCCTCAGTCAATCTGGACAGTTATTATCATGTATGTTCGTCACCCGAGTCCTTCTAATGGTGTGAGTCCGTCAATCCAGTTATTATTGGGCTGACTTACTGACATCCGGTGGTAGCCGATGAATTCCTGTAAGATATTCCAGTTTGGTTTCAATGGATTGAAACATTATCGCCAATTGGGTAATCGAGACTATATTGTGAAACCTTTAAACACTACTCACCTCGCTCTGAAAAAAGGTACTTTGACTGAAAATTCCAATATTTATTTTTTATTATCTATTTTGTTGTTATTCTAGAACGAATGGACGGCGCTTTATTTAAATCTTACAAAAATCCATCTTTAAGGAAAATGCTTGGTAATTTTTCAGGAATGAGAGGGATTGTCTAGTGACTTACGATAGGTAAAATAGCCACATGGATACTACGACTATGGTGCTTTTCTGACTTAGTATGGATGGAACAAGTTAGAAAAGCTGGTCTGGGTCAGCTATTCAGTCTCTAGTCACCCCCCCCCCCCCACAACTATAAGATAATACTGCGCTATTATGACTTTAGAATCGATCGAACGGGGTGAAATTACTTGGGAGCCATGGTGGCTCAAAGAGTACGACGTTGGCTTGCTAAACTAGAAGTTCCGTCCCATATTCAATCTCGGTGTTAGCTGAGAGAAAGTTCCTCCTTGTCAGTGGCTTAGGACGGGGGCCTAGCATTGGGCAGCGTATTGTCGTTCGGATGGGAGGAAAAACCGCGGCCCCGTGTTCACAAGCCAATAGTGAGGCGGATGCCCCCCTCCCCCCACACACACCAAAATCCCGAAATAAAAAGATGACACATATTAATTAATTGCACGTTTATCTTTTTTCAAAAATATCGAGCAATCAAACTGATTATCAACTATACACTAAGTTTCATCACAATCTATCAGATAGAATCAACCTAACGAACATCAACATCAAGTTGGAACATTCTACCTCAATTAAAAGCAGAGTTGTTATGTTCCATAGTCTTGACCAATCAAATTACTTATCACTCAGCTTAGCCTCAGCAGAAATTGTTCAATATCGAAATTAGTCAAGGTAATGATATAATGAAACTATACACCAAGTTTGATCACTCTCACTTAATTAGAACTAAAGTTATCGTGTCCCAAAGCATCAACCAATCAAATTGCTTACCTCTGCTTACCCTATACAGAAAATGTTTATCTTCTAACTCCACCAAGGTATCGACCTAATAAACGCCTATACCAAGTTTGAACATTCTAGCTCAATTAGAAGGAGAGTTATTGTGTCCCAAAATGTGTGACGAACAGTCGGACGGACGGACAGACAGACAGACAGACGCACCCATTTTAATAGCCCCCTGCGTTCTTCGAAAGGCGGGGGACAAAAATCCTGGACAGAGTAAGCCATAGAACCAAGTTTCCTTATAGCACACTACTTCATTAGCCCAGTCGGAGAAGAACCATTGGAAGTTAACCGCTATTTCATTTAGTTTATTACTTTCTAGTGTCAATTTGTATTTTAGATCCATGTAATCCTGCCTGTGATAATGGTGGATCCTGTCTGGGTGGTGCCTGTCAATGTAAATCCACGAACGAATGGGATTACAGCGGTTCGCATTGTGAACAGGCTGGTGAGTCCCGGATTAAATTTATTTTTCTTTGGGAATTTAAAAACGATGCTAAAAGATGCAAAACGAAAAACCTTAAGTTTTCAAACCTCAAGAAAGGATATGTTTATTTTATATTTTCATCTCACTATTTATAGTTCAATGTATCCCAGCTTGTGTTGATGGAGAGTGTCGTAGCTTTGGTTATAACTCTACTTATTGCAGCTGTAATTCAAATTCAACAGGAAGATATGAAGGACCGACTTGTGATACCTTTACACCTTATAGTGAGTTGTCAAATTTAAATTATGTTCCCACAAAAATGTTAAGGGAGCTCCTTTGTTGACCTTATTTGTGGAGGGCGCTAGTCTACCAAGTTTATATCATTTATGTTCGTCACCTTGCTACTTCCAGCCAGCCCAGTTAGTATCATTTATGTTCGTCACCTGTGTCCTACCAGTGGAGGGAGCTAGTCAACCCAGTTTGTATCATTTATGTTCGTCACCGGTGTCCTACCAGTGGAGGGCGCTAGTCAACCCAGTTTGTATCATTTATGTTCGTCACCGGTGTCCTACCAGATATAGTTCTATATTTTATTTCCACTATTTATAGATCAATGTACCCCGGCCTGTGTTCATGGAGTGTGTAACTATGGTTATTGCAGTTGTTATTCAAATTCAACAGGGATATATGAAGGACGGGCTTGTGACACATTTACAGCCAGTGAGTTATCAACATTAATTATGTTCACCAAATGGTAGATTTATGTCACCTTGGCGATCCGACTCTGCTGTCAGCGTTTGGGTTTGGGTTTGAGGCAACAGAGAGTTATAAGTTCAGATGCCTTCTACATGCGACGTCACATCATAATGGGTTTGACATGTAAATAAATGTCTTAATAATAGTTTATATAAAAAAATAAAGGCCTGCAATAGGCAGATTTAGCTTATACATAATACACCTTAAATAGTACAATGTTTAGGTCGGATATGTAAATTAGTGTATTAACCTATGAGTTAACGTTGTTTATATTAATATAGTACAATGTGTAGGTCCAATATTTCAATTCGAGTATTATTCTATGCTTTAACGTTGATATTAATACAGATATTTAACATAATTTTTTAGAGACGTGTAGTGAATCTTGTGAAAATGGCGGCACGTGTGGATACAGAAATGAGTGCTACTGTAAATCAAATGCAACACATTATACCTCGGGACCGACTTGTTCACAGGTGCAAGGTACTAGTATACTTACCTCATCGGGACCGACTTGTTCACAGGTGTCAGGTACTAGTATGATTTTCATTAAAAGGGTCGAGCAAGATGTTAGATACTTTTTTTTGATTTCCAGTGATTTTGTTAACTGTAATATTTGAGATTAATTACGTTCTACAACCTGAAGTGATTTTGAAGGACTTCATCAAATTTTCCTTCAAACTGTGCTGCTCTAAATAAATGTAATTGGAGCGTTTCCATGTAACTGACGATAACGTGTACCAAAAGGCGACGAAAACCCGTATATGGATAACAGGATTAAGACTTTAAATATATATATATATATATATATATATATATATATATATATTCAATTGTCTCACGTAGATAAGTGTTCTAATGTGTTGCTAAGCATTTATTGCCACTTTCACCACAGAGAGCAGATAATGCTGGAAAGATTGTTGCGTGCGTCAACTTACATCTATGCGGAGCCAAGGTCTCTCCTTGTCACTAGGCGGAGGGTCTGCCTAGTCGTTCGGATGGGACAAAAACGAGGTCTTCGTCGGTGCATCAAAGTATGACGTTAAACTTCATTTCATTTGCATCATCGGTATTTCAGTATGGGCTTTGTGATACTCGGATATGAGTGAACAATACAATCTGTTTCACGGAGGTACTGTGAAAGTCGTCTTATACCTCTGTATTAGATGACTGACCTTTATAAGTTCAAGTATGCCTTCTCCAAGTGACGTCACGTCACGGGCCATCCATCATAGGCTATGCTGGTGGTTGTTTAAATGGAACTTATTGTTATATTTATAATTTATTAGAATGTGTTGGTGGTTATTTAACGGGAATTTATATTATTGGGTTATATTATTTTTATATTTATAATTTATTAGAATATGTTGGTGGTTGTTTAAATGGAACTTATTGTTATATTTATAATTTATTAGAATGTGTAGGTTTTTGTTTAAATGTTATATTTATAATTTATTAGAATGTATCGGTGGTTGTTTAAATGGGGGTGTTTGTGTAAATGGAAGTACTTGTTTCTGTACCCAAGAATACACTGGAGCAAACTGTGAAACATACATAGGTAACGTATGGAATTTTCTTCTTATCTGAGTATGTTGTCATGATTTCTATCCAAGGTTTTTGCCTTACCACGTTGTGTTTGTGTGGTTTCTCCATTTCATGATCTGTCTACATTATGCCAGTCGGAGCAGAACAGTAGGTCGTTAAACCCCATTTCATTTCCTGGCATTTAGTCAAATACAGCTGCTCGTGTAAGGTACCGAGTCAGCAGTAAGAATTCCTACTGAGAGAATCCCAATATTAAATCACTCCACTCACTCACTCCGCACAACATAGTCATATACCGACGCAAACAGAAACCGAAGGTTAGAAATATTACCTCTGCCACCCCCACCCCCTCCCCGTCACAAAGGCGTGCGCGCACGACACACCAACACCCAACATTAAGTATTGTTTAATGGTCGAGAGCGAGACATTAAGTAATATATTGTAACAACATGAGGGCCGTAGGCCCGAATGTTTTTACAATATATTACGCAATGTCGTAAGCTCGAGACCATTAAACATCTTAAAATACTGACACTCCGCACGAGCTTTTACGTCACACTAGTCCAATATCTCACTGGTATGAATAAAGTACTATTGGCAAGTTGCCCGTACGATTATTTGAAATAATGGTACGCCAACATCAAAGGGTGACGTCACATCTGTATTTTAAACTGATATAATTGTTAATTTTATATAACATTTGCATTCATACAGAGTGTCCTTGTCAGAATAATGGAACGTGTATTGGCGGCCATTACTGTCTTTGTACATCAAACAACACGGGGAATTACTATGGACAACTATGTGACCAATTCGAATTTACACGTAAGTATATGTTAAGTAAATCTAAAATATCTGATGATAATAAGCACAACATTGAAGACCGAAACTTTGAATAACATTGCACACTATTTCATGTTTGTCAAGCATTCATAAGTATTGATAATCCTTGGCGAAATCCCGCATCAATCAACAAGTCTTTAACGTGTAATGTATACTACACACGCTATATATCCTATTACTGCCCCCATCGTGCTTCATAGAAAATAAAATATATACAATTAAAACATTGTCTCTTTTAAACAGTCTAGCGCTTTACAATATAGACCCGGTTGGGCAAACAATTGATGTAATGACTGACAACGGTAATACTTAGATCTAATGCACTTGAGATGTGTGTACTCAATCAAAATTTGTTTAACTGTCATAGGAACATGACAATGTTCACATTCTGGTTGAGGATCTCGCTTTAAGATAAAATATATGTGTTAAAAATGTATCACCTATTCGAGAGTGACACAAAACAACCACATCTCCCCTGTTGGACATACAGGAGTTGGGCTTAATGTGATGAATGTTATTTGTACCTGCAAGATCCCAAAGAGTTAAAAACTTGGATATTGGAAGATCTAAAGCAGAATTGGCAGTCGTGCCTGCTTCATCATTCCCTTTGATATCCATATGACTGCGAGCCAGCAAAGGACAATGTCCATGCTGATGAACTCGTGTGCTAGTAACAGACAGTAAACATCTGCTATATGGATGATCAAGTTGTATGTTATTTGTTGCTTGTAGTGAGGGCAAAGAATCAATAAAAAATATATATTTTAAATTAGATGATGATTGAATGAACTCCGAAGCCTGGAGAATGGCCTGGGGTTCAGCTGTAAAGATGGGAGTAGCTGGTGGAAGGTGAACAGAAATAATCGCAGATTGTGTCACGGTAGTAGAAGCTACCCGATCACTATCTTTAGAACCATCTATATAAATAGGAGCATAAGCAGCAAACGAAATCGTCTTGACAAAATTCAGTAGATAGTTGATCAAATTATAGTTGATACTAAGAGTGACATGTCTGACGATTCGCGGATGATGGAGCGATGTGTTAACTTGTATTCAATCTTTGTTAAACTCGTCTAAAGGGCGAAAAACTCTATTCTTTGGAACCTTAAATTGGTACTACGGGTTACAAATTGGTCTGTTTGTGTGTACTGAGGCGGTGTTTTATCTTGTATTAAACACACATTATACAAGAGCTAAATCTGCCTATAGCAGGTCTGTCGTTAGGCCTGAAATATTGTCTAAGACATTACTTAATTTATCCAGACCATAATCAATTCTCGATGCCATCTCTAGCTTGCGATATTTAGCGGATTGAAATACATTTTTTGAAAAATAATTAAACGTTAAAATGGATAATCGAGACTTTTTTTTATCGTACCGACTTTAGTATTGATGATCGAGGCTCGCCTGAACTTCAAAAGCGAATATCTCGGTTCATAGTGGATCAATTTGACAGAAATTTTCAGCATAATCTGTTTACAGTATCTTCTTTGTATCTATTATAGCGAGAACTATCAACTCTTTATTTAATCTCCCATAATGCCCCATTAAATGTTAGTTAAAGCCGTGCAAGCCACCTACTGATTCTGGAGTTGCGGTGGCTCAGTGAGTAAAACGTATGTTCTCTAACCTGGAGTTCTCGTGTTCTATCCCGGTAGACTGATCTGCCGAGAAAATTCATCGCGATTTTCCGGCATGATTTCCTCTTTGTCAGTGGTACAGGACAGAGGGCTCGACAAGGGACAACGAATTGTCGTGCGGATAATACGAAAACCTGTTCATGTGTACGCGCTAAGAACCCTTGACAGTTGTTATTTGAAATAAGAGTAGGTCGTGACGCCGCTGTTCAGGCACAATTTAACTCACATCATCAACCCAGTCGGTGCAGAACAGTATGACGTTAAACCCCATTTCATTCACCTACCGATTCCTTTTATCCACAGCGCCATGTTACCCGTCAGTTCTCAATGGTGGATTGTGTTTTTATCAAAGTTCTACTTGTCCATATGACGACATAGGTTATTTCCATGGTGACCAATGTGAACAGTACAGTACACACAGTGAGTACTATATATACTCTTCACAAAAGTAGGGGATATTCAGAAACAATGCAAAACTGCGGAAATGAACTACTGTTAGAGGTAACCAGTGTATGTTTATACCAGGCCAATTGCCTACACATGAACATAAACAGTTCATATGGGCGGCTTATCTGACGGCCCCATTTCACTCGCAAAGAGATACGCCGTCAAAAGTGAAAATGGACGTTTTTGATTTTTGTCTTAATAATGAGTAATAGTTCCACCAATCCTCAGACATTCAGCAATTCGTCGTGGCATGCTCCTAATCAACCGTCCAATCACGATTTGGGGCAATCTTACCCACTCATCTTGCAGTGCCACGGCCAATTCTTGCAGTGTTGTCGGCTGACGTTGACGAACACGTCTCCCGATCACATTAAACGTAACACACTAAATCAAAGATACGCTAAACAGTAAATCTTATGCAAGAACCGATAGGAAAGCAAACATGGATAGATAAACCAGCACGCGGCAGTTTTCATCAACCCTTCCTTGAAGTGTCAAATTTGACAATGAACCCCTTCCAAGTGTATGGCACTATTGCGTTTCGCATGTGCAGCTCAGTGGTTCTGTTGGGGCGATAAATTCTTCATCTGTGAACATACTCTCAAAGCATGTCAAGTGTCCATGACTATTTATCCTATCACAACCTGCAAAGGTATTTGCATTTCAATATCCCCTACTTTTTTTTTCAAGAGTATATATTATTATGGTGGCCATATTGAATTTTTAAGATTTCTGATATGCAAAAACACATATATATCAAGATCTCATCTTCTAAACATTTAATACCGTTATATCATCTAGAAAAGCACCACTTCCCTGAAAATTAAGATTTTGACCCTGAGTGGTTTAGAAGCTGAAATACATACGTCTTCAACATACAAGATGACCGAAATACCATATTTGGAGGAAGTGGTGCATTTGATGGCCGCCATGCCATATTTGAAGGAATTGGTGCCTATCAAGTTAGTAGGCAGTATTTAATTTATGGCAAATTTGGTGCTTTTGTCCGTAACGTTCATATCAATTATCAAAACTGTTCCTTAACTGCTTGATTGCCAGATTATCCGAATCTAGATATGTATCTTTTATACGCCCGAATATACGTTAAGGATCAAAACATTTTTGATGTCTTCAATTGTGGTGCGCACTGGACCTTCTGAGGCCTAGCTATGCCCCCTGCCTTTTAAGTAAAATGTGAAAGATGTACATGTTTGTGGACCCTTCAGAGGTGACGATTATGTCCGATTCAGATTCAGTGAAAGGTGTGTGTGTGTGTGGGGGGGGGGGTAACTTTGCTAGTTTTCTGTCATTGTTTTAAAGCTTCTAGTGAGCTTAAAAACAATGAAATAACTTATTTTCGTGCGCCACGATTCGATAGCCATTGCAGTGCTTTAACTGTTAGCATTCTCGATGGTTATATTCCTTATGTTTTATCGTCAAACGAAGGCTGAGTGGGTGAGACGTTAGCTCGCTAACCTCGGGTGGGACGAAACATCGAGGTCCCACCAGTAACAGAACGATTGACAGTTGGAATTCGATATACGAGTTTCCCCTCAAAGCACGCTGTATGCCCGTCTTCCTGAGCACAGTAGGAGGTTAAATCCCATTTAATTTCAATTATGTGATAAATAACAACACCCAATTAAATACGCATCTCCCTATTGTGGTGTTGGGATCGGTTAATGGGGTGTTGTGTCGATGGTCATGGATTCCATTACCATCTTCTAAACTAGTAACGAATAACGTCCATCTTTAGCTTCACCTATCACCAGAAGGGTCAAGGTCATTTATTAACAACGGGAAATAACTCTAACAACAAGAATGAACAAATGGGAATGAACTCCAATATTGTTGGAACGAACTACATATAACAGTAATTATACGACATCCCGCCTATTAAAAAAAGGCTTCCTCGAAAACAAAATAAGGGATATACATTATGAAAAAAATATTAAATATTAAAGTACCAAACATTCTTTCACGCATTCATACTAAAGGCAAAAAAAATGAGTATTACTTAAATCTCAATATTTGAACATTCTGTTGGGGTTTTTTGCTATTCAAGAAAAAAAATTAAGGACGACTAATTAAATCAATATTATTATAAAAAGATAATAAGATGTATTTCAATGCTTATCTTGTAGTAATACAATATAATAATAATAATAAGCTCAATCATTTGACATAATAATTATGACCTAATGAACAAAATAGAACTATAAGTATTACAAAGATCTATTCAATAATCAAGCAAATTAATAACATACAATAGTGTGTAGAGAAAAATTCAAAAGAACATATAATTATGACTTTTAACAAAGTAAAAGATCTACAACACATAAGATTATTCACAAAATTATCACTTTAAAAAAATTGACAAGGATTACCAACAATATTAAGTTGATTATTCTCAATAAGATTTTCAGCAATATCACATAACATCTTATCATTTCTTACATCAATCCACTCTGAAATCTTAGGATCATTCATATCAAAATTAATTAATAACTGTAAATTGCCATACTTAAAACGACCTTTCTTAATATAAATATTTCTATTTATCTCTACATCTTGCATATAAAGCAATTGACTTTGAAGTTGAGATTCTTTTAAAATACTCATACAAGCAATGTTAAGATTTGAATGACTATTCTGAATTAACGAATCCATATTTATTGGACTAGTAAATCTATTATACAAAATAGAAGAATCATCATATTCTGGCAAAAAATTACCGTGCACAACTGTAAATTGACAACTATTCTCTATACTATCTAATGGTGTTGAATTATTATTACTCTCTTTACTTAATTAAGACTTTAAGTTATTTATATGAGAAAAGGTCTTAGTTGGGTTATTTGCTCTAATGAAACAGGGTTTCAATCTATTAATACTATACACATCAGGAAGAACTTTGCCTTGTAATGTCGCTAATATAAAATATCTGATAAGAGGTCAACACCAATCTGCACGAATCTTTTTACTATTGGATGGGAGATTAGAAGATGAAGGTTTAAGAACATATACAAACTGTCCTAGACTATATATAGGGTTTTTACTAATTGAATGGGATATGCTATCATTTTGTAACTGTTGTTTCCTTCTTTGTAAATCCAATACAATATTTGAAATATTGGCAAACTTTTGCTTTAAATGCTTGAAATAGTCACTATAGGAATGAGATACATTATTATCATAACTCCATACAATATTAGTTAAATTACGAGGAGCTTTTCCAAAAGCTAGTTCATATGGACTAAAATTACCTGAATGAGCTGATGAAAAAGGGTTGTACGCATATGTACTGGTTGAGACAAAACGAACCCAGTCTGTTCCATACTGGTTCAGATTATACTTTAGTAAGTCAGATATAGAGCGTATATGACGTTCTACGAGTAAACTTCCATGATTAGCTACACTAATTAATTTATGATTAATTTGTAAAGCATAACATAAAGACTTAACTAAACTTCCTGTCAAAGATGATTGTGCATCAGTAATAAGTAAACTTGGCGGTCCAAATATGCACACTTTTTTCCAAATAATTGCTTCGGCAATTGTTTCAGCATCTAAACTCTGAAGAGGAATACATATCATAAATCTAATAAGTTCGTCACAAGCAACTAATAAATGACGAGTAACAGGCATTGATTTAAAATCCAAGCACATTCTATCAAAATTGCGGCATTCGTTTGATATTCTGGGATGATAAATTCTTAATGAATCTGTCATGGGTTTGAACTGTTGGCATCGATGACATGATGTAATGTAATTAGATTAAACAATATTTTATTCAATAAACTGAAATGGATTGAACAAGGGGCCAAGGCCTATATAAGTTCTAATGTAATTGGATATGACTTGAAACATGTTAGGTATAAAAAAAAAACCTTTCTCATGGTAAGGTAGGTCTTAGTAATTCCCTGATGACTACTAAGTACACCATCATGATAAATACTTATAAGATTGTGTGCCAATTGTTCAGGAATAGCAAGTTGTAATGTAAAGTCATCGTCACGAGGAATAAGTAATCGAAATAATAATTGATCACACATAATAAAATCATCACCCCTATGTTTAATTGTTTTGGCAGCTCGTTTGTTTGATGGTAATATGCCATGAGCTAAATAATCATATATAGGCTTAACATATTGTGAACCTTCTTGAGAAATACGACGCTTATTATGATCTATAGGGAGATTGTAATCACGAATAATTTTACGTTTGATAATGGAAACAAGTCGATCAAGATCTTTCTGTTTTGGGAAATGTGTAGTTACTAAGGAATCTGGATTATGTATGATAGATTATGGCGGTAAACACAATTCTAAAGGTATTTCAGAATAATCTGAGTCTTTGTCTATAGGTATTGTATCAACTAAACGTGGTTTTGTAGGTGTTACATGTATAGTAGGTTCAGATGGTAAGACTGTAATAGGTTGTTTATTGACTGCCTTATCTTGTGAGATAGGTGTATTATTACGACTAGATGTATTAGTTCGAGTAGGTGTAGTGTTAGATGTACATGCATCTGACGTAAGAACTGAAGCAGCTTGACTAGTTGTTTGTGTAATCGATGTGTTACTAGTTAACTGTTTGTTTGTAGAACCTTGTGTAACTTTTTCACTTGTGTTAGTGTCATGTTTGGGATGACTTCCTTTACAATTGGGATATATGTCTTGTATAGGAATATTTTGTTCTTTTGCCCATCTTCTTGTAACAGGACGTTCTTTAGCAGTAAGAACAAAAGATGTGGGAACAATAGTATCAATCTCAGAATCTTCCTGAATGGGGTTACGTGATAAATAATCTGCAACGAAAATGTCTTTAGCTTTAACATAGACAACATTAAATGAGAAATATGAAAATTACATTAACAACTTCTGTAGGCGATTTGTACATGGTTGTTTCTTAGACTTTAACAACTGGACTATAGCACTATGATCTGTATATACATCAAATTCAACACCGCGCAAAAGATATTGAAAATTGGAGATGTTTATGTAAATTCCAAAAAGTTCTAATTCTGTAACTGAATAATTCAAACATGCTTGAGGTAATCTCTTAGAATAATATCCTAAAAGTCTTTCTTCTCCATTAATTATCTGTGTCAAATATAAACCCGTAGCTATACGACTTGTAGCACTATAAAGTCTTAAACGGCCTGATCCAGAAGGTGTGTATAATACTGGAGGCTGTAATAGCATAGCTTTAATTTTGTCAAAAGCTGCTTGATGAATTTCATTCCAAACAAATTTCGATTTCTTGTTAGCAATTTTATGTAATGGACCTAGAAACTGTTGTAGAATAGGTAAGAAATTTGCAATATAAGTCACAGCACCTATGAAATGTTTGACATCTCTGCTAGTTTTAGGATTAGGTAAATTACGAATATGTTTACAACGATCATTAAGTGGGTTAATGGTAAGTAAATATTCATCATTAATCAAAAGTTGATGTCCCATGTAAACTACGGATCGTTTGAAGAAGTTACATTTACGTGGGCTGATCTTTAAACCATATTTCTGCAATGCTAGAAATAGTGATTGTAAATGAGTAAAATGTGATTCTATATCAGAACTGAAGCAAATAATGTCATCGTGGTGAGCCACACAAAACTTGTAACTATCGGGAATAACTAACTACTGTCAATTGAAAAATAGCTGGTGATATAATTAAACCTTGAGTGCGGCGTTTGAAATAATAATGTTTACATTCTGCAAATGAACTAATTCCAGTAAATTGTTGAGCATGTGGAGTAAGTGGGAGACTGAAAAACGCAGATTTAAGATCAATACAAGATATAAATTTAGGATTTGCTTGACCAATGCGCTTGAGCGTTTCACTTGAAAGTGGAAAAGGATGATTGTGTCTTTTTATACGAGAATTCAAATACCTGAAGTCGACAACTACACGCTTTTCTGTAGTTCCATTTTTAGGAAGGACTAAAACTGGTGATGTGTAAGGCTGATGTCCCATAGACAGAATTCCTAATTGAACTAGTTTCTGTAATTCAGTAGATACTTCAATTTTGATTCGCTAAGCACTAAAATCAATCTAATATTATCCAATCATATTACTAAAATTTGGATTTTATCTTAGTTAAAATTTCGTGAAACAGGCCCCAGCACTTATAACTTCCTTCTCTGATTCAGTCGCTGGATATGGTCTAATGTTAAATGGATCGGTATTGTTTACTTGTATATCTACCTGAACATGAGGACATTCACCAACTTCGCCATTGAGACTAAAGGTATCTCTATTGTCAAATATAATCTGGTAAAAGTCTTTCTGTTGCTGAGAAGTGAGGATACTTTGTGAAAGATCAATACATTTACTAAGCTGATCTTGGTCTGTATTGGAAGACATATTTGTATTGAAAGAAACATTGTGTGTTGCATGTAGCAATGTCATTAAAATATGTATAAAATAAAGCTGATGAGATTGTATCTATAGCATTTTCTTAGTATTGTTGCATATTGGTACAGTAGTTCTATTATAATGTAAATGAGCTAGAAACGTTGAAGGACATGATTGTTGTACATATTGAGAACTATACATTAAAATATCACAATGTCTAAACACTGACAGAACTTTACCCTGTACTGTAAGATGACGAGTTTCACCAGGTTTTATATACAAATTTGAAGTTGAATAAAAATTTTGTACTGGTGGTTTCGAAGTACATTGCAAAGTGTTTGTTTTAAAATTTAAGGTACTATCTAATTTTCCTAGTGTGTCTTGTCCTAATATAATATCAACTCCTACTAAATTATGTGCTATGTAAGTGTGAAATGTAAAAGTATGACCTTGTATATCAACATCTATGTTTACTGACTTGTAACAATTGACCATTACCTAGTTTGAGTACTAATGGTTTAGCTAAAGTAATACAGTCATATGTAGGCAATTGTGATAGAGTTTCAAACAACAATGAAGAAATAAGAGACTTAGTTGATCCGCTATCAACCAAAATTGAAACCTTTCGACCATTTGACAAAATTCCTTTACAATAATTACGATTGTCTAACTGTATAGAAGTTTGGTTGGATTTCTCTGAAAATTTGTGTTGTATGCTCCCAGAGTAATTAGATGTAGGGAACCCAATTGGAGCATCATGAATTCCCTGTATTGAAAATCCTGCAAATGTCTATCTGCTAAATGTTTCTGACGTAAAAAACACTGTTGCCATGTGTGGTAGGGTTTCAAACAATAGTCACAGAAAGGAGCTCTTGTTGAGAAATTGTTATTAGGTAGTCTGTTATTAGGTGGAGTGTTAAGTGATCGACCACCATGAATATTGTGATTAAATCTTGAAGATCTATGTGTATGTGGATTACGAGGACTCCTATTATAGGAATGACTATGTCTATCATTTCGAAAAGTGTCAAATGTAACTGGACTATGTGATTTACGAAAGTCAGGTGAACGTGATTTTCTACGAGTGTAATGTCTACTAGGGTTTTCACGACAATAACTTGAACTATGACTGTGTCTATGTAAAGGACGAAAGTCTGTATGACCTATTCTGTCATGTCTAGTATCATTTTGAGAATGAAGTGTGAGAATGAATAAAATTTGATGTATCAAGACGTAATGTTTCAAGTTGGGTTTTAAGTGCATCGACGTCTTCTTTATAAATAGAAAAAGAAACTTCTTTACTTGTAACTTTTACATTGTTAGCTAAATCAAAAAAACATTGTGCTTTTCTTGAAACATCATGAACTGTAGCATTTGGAGCAAGTGCTAATACAATACTTTGTTGACATTCATTGGGAAGAATGGAAATATACTTATGTTTTATAAGTTCATTTGGAATATGAAGTTGTGAGGCTAGTTTAGTCAATCGTTCTAAATTTTCTAAGGGCGATTGTTTAATGTCATATGTGAAATGGGTATAAGCATTATGGAGATTAAAATCAGTACGATTCTCCGAAAATCGTTCGACAAATTGTGTTTTCAGATCTTCTATATTACGAAATATTTTCCCTTGAATCCATAATCTGGCTTCGCCTTTTAAACTGTGTTTAAAGAATGTTACTACGCGATTCAAATCGGCAATATTCACCGGTTCAAGAGGTTCTCTATGTACCTCTAAATAGTCTAGATATGACAAATAATGAGACAAAGCATGGTCTCGACTTAATATAGTACCCTCAAATTTATCTATATCGATAGATAATGCTAATTGTTGTATGGGTTGCTGAGCTTGAGCTTGACGAGCCATCGTAAAATGATTATGTGAGTTAGCAAAAGTACAAAACAATAATAAAAAGAAAAGTAACATATTATTAATTATGCACACACACTCTCATCATACATACATTCATTGGTAATTAATAATTATGAAATATAAACTGCAACATTATTACATTCACATTGAACATCAAAAACTGGAAAACATATCATCAGTTAAAAACTGGAAAACATCACTGACATACTAATGAAGAACATCGTATTACATGTATTCAGCTTCACCAAGTGTACTGGTATAAAAGAAAATTAAATGAATGTTACAAATCCGGTTTACTCGCATATCTACGCAATGTCCAATTTGATGAAAATCTGGAAATTGTCGACCATCTTGAATTTCGCGCCACAGTATTAACAAGGGCACATAACTCTGCTTTTAAATCACTGACACGTGCAAAAAAAAGTCAAATTCGTTGGAAAAAAATACATTGTCACGGACACAAATAAAAAAACACCAGAAAATCTCTTTTAGGCCTATTCGTGTCCAAAACTCCGTAAAACACCAAAAATTGACGTTAAAATCGGAAAACTGGTTAGAATCTATTGGCGAAAAATGTCGTCTGTTGTCGTTGGTAAAAATTCGTCTGCTACTGTAATTATTACAAAATTCATCGACAACTGCTGCCAAAACTTGGTCAAATCTTCATTCTAGGCAAAACATCGCCATCAAATTCTATCCAAAAAAATGCGGAAGGCATCTGGAACAATCTTCTGTCGAATAAACTAGTTGTAAAAAACTCAGCACTCTGTTGTCATTCTTCATCGGAAAAAAAAATTGAACATCGGTTATATTTTCAAATGAAAGTTGGCAAAATTACGAAAAATCAGTGCCTGATGAAAAACGGCATCTCCACCATGTGGTGTTGGGATCGGTTAATGGGGTGTTGTGTCGATGGTCATGGATTCCATTACCATCTTCTAAGCTAGTAACGAATAACGTCCATCTTTAGCTTCACCTATCACCAGAAGGGTCAAGGTCATTTATTGACAGAAGGGTCACCAGAAGGGTCAAGGTTATTTATTAACAACGGAAATAACTCTAACAACAAGAACGAACAAAAGGGAATGAACTCCAATATTGTTGGAACGAACTACATATAACAGTAATTATACGACACTATGTCAACTGTCACGCCCACACATCCATTTCGAGGTCATTTAACAAAAAGTATAATGTTATAGTGGAATCTATTGGTATGTGTTTTGTATTATGTAGATTGCAGCAGTATTTGTGTAGAGCCCTACGTGTGTGTAGGGCCGTATTGTGGGTGTCCATACAATCTAGCAGAGGGTTATACATATTTTGGCGACGGAGACGAAGCATGCAGTCTTAAATATTACATGTAAGTATGAATGTTTTAGCATTTTGAAGGGATATAAGTGAAAGCATCGGGTAGTAATATAGCTCATGTTCGTGGTATATGTTTGGAAATATAGAAATATGGACGTCACAACTAGAAAACTACAATTTACAATCTTGTCGGTCAATGTTAACCTTTTTCTTATATTGGCGTCAGAGTTTGCTTGTTCTAGAAGCTTTTTTTTTTATCATATTATCACTTTATTTTGTGTGTAATCATATAGCACGCGGTCGACGTGTCAGTCGAACGTGTGGTGGATAAGGTTCAATCTGATTAATATACAGATCTATATTTCGTTTCGTTTTTTTTATACTTTCGATGGCCTACACTACATGAAGATCTGACCAGTTGTACTGGGAGGTCGCGTTAGGGGTCATTCGAATGGCTTTTGACCCTATGACGTAAGACATTGATTAATCAATCAACGTTGACGTTTCTGGTGGTTTACCCACAGTTCCGTGCAGAGCACGTCTAGAACTCCCTGTAACAGACCGTTTCATTGGCTAATTCCTCACATCAACTAAAATGCCTGTTATATAACGACTCTTTCAGATCCTAGTGTTGTGAAGACAAGTAAAGCGAAATTTTGAACTATAAAAAAACGAAAACAAAATAGGATCTGTGTTGTAACCAGATTGGGCTAAAGGTGCACTGTGTCTGCATATCACGTGATATCTCCGCTATTTAGTACGGGATCGTATTGTCTGTGATATCACTTCGGTTGATGCGCATGTTTTACACGAGATGGTGGTCAAAGGAAATGGATTCGGAAAGGCCTCCAAATCGATCTCGCGTCTCCTACCTATGTTAGACTTAGCCAATTGTTTGACTCCTCTGGCACGTTTGTCCGGAACACTTGTCTACGATATCACCTAAGGCGGAAGCGGACATTACGTATTAAGAACGAACGACGAACGGGATAGTGGTGTCGCCGGTAGTAGAAGCAGGAAATCGATCTGACAACATCTGTTTCACTGGTGTCATTAAATGTTTCTTGGCATCCGCAGTAAAAACATTACCATGGTTTTCATCCACCATACATGACCTACTGTCTGATTCATCGTAAATTTTAAACGGATTTCTTCGATTATGAACAAACTACTTAACGTTGGTTATTATAAACTTACCTGTGTGTTTGTAATGAACTCCCGTTCGATAAAATCCATTGCACAACTAATTATCACAACGATGAAAACAAGTTCTCTCTTGAAAAATTGAAATATCACAAACTTTTCCCAGAGGAAAATACCAATATGGAAGATGGTTACGTCACTCTGCGGAAGATATCATTTCGTATTAGGGGTGACAGCATAGGAAATTCAAGTACAATTACGACAAGAATCCATGACCACTCGGACCAAAGATCACTCGGTTCAAGACCAGTCGGACCAAGTGATAGACCACTCAGCCCAAACAAATAGACTACTCGGACCATACAAAAAGACTATTCGGACCCAACAGAAAGACGACTCGGACCAATAATAAAATGTTGTTTTAATAAATTGATAATTGCGTTTGTTTTAATATAATTACTCGAACCAATAATAAAGTGTTATTTTAATAAATTGATAATTGTGTTTATTTTAATATGACTACTCGAACCAATAATAAAGTGTTATTTGAATAAATTGATAATTGTGTGTGTTTTAATATGACTACTCGAACTAATAATAACGTGTTGTTTGAATAAATTGATAATTGTATTCCAAATCGCAAAATATCGAGAACCACACTTGTAGTCACGTTTAAAAAGGGGCATATAAACGTCCGGTCTTCGTATTATTATGTGCTGTTTATATTAACGCATCAAGGGCGGATAACTTGAAAACGTGTCTCCACCCCCCCCCCCCACATATAGTAACCCAGGGGTTAGTGGGGTAGAACGGAATGAAACCACTGGGGATACCGCGAATGTGGAAAAAGTAAAATTAGGCTATCAGACAAGAACAGTATACCCGTATATGTAGAAACTGTCAAAAGTCTGGACATACCGAGTCTCATTGCAAGAGTAAAGAAAAATTAGATTGATATTTTTTTTTGGCACCATTATTAATTAATTTTAAAACTAATCGTTGATTTATTTACGTACACAAAATTGAACCAAACAACTCTAAATATAAGAATTCCGTATAAGAATTATTTGCTTCTTTGTATTGTGATTTAATAATAAATAAATAGCATATTGTCTAGCCTTATAATATAATTTAATTGGTCCGACTGGTCTTGTTTTGGTCCGACTGGTCTTAGTCCGAGTAGTCTTTGGTCCGAGTGGTCTGGATACCTACGACAATTGGCATTGAGTTTGAGCGTTCGCACACATAACTACCCGCATTCCTGTATTTAGTTACCGTCTTTTACATTCTAGTAAAATCTCTGCAAATTTTATAGCTTTACTTTTTGAAATATTTTGTTCTAATTATTTGATCAGCGTCTCGGATGGGATTATTTACTTTTGAACACGCATGCCACACAAACACAACTATACATTCGTTTTACGGGCTTTATCACACTTCGGTCAAAACTGTCGAATCGAGAATTAATGTTCCGCTTCTTACGGGCTTAGTAGCATTATATACCCACCCGGGCACCCAATACGGCAATAGACACGCTGAGGGCTGCCGCAACACGCTTAAAGATGTTACTGAAGCGGTTATTATTCGATCGAAAGAATGCGTATAAAATTAAAAATACACTCAGAGAATTCGGAGGTAAGGTTCGTGATCCTTGTTAAATTATTTATAACATGAAGAAGATAGGATATTTATAGTTTATTCATGACTTTATTTTTACGAGTATCCGTGCAATCAGTGATATTTTAATTGTGAAGAAAATTTGATAGACTGGCGATCAATGGTTTCCATATAAATCTCCTATGTAATTGCCTTCAATTGATATTTTTCGTCGCCCAAACCCATATACGATCAAAATGATCGCGCTGTCAAACTATCTTTCAATGTTAACCAACCCCCGCAACAGGTATATTGGATTCGACCATTACGTCACGAAGAAATTGTTCTCATTGTTGTGATAATTAGTTGTGCAATGGATTTTATCGAACGGGAGTTCATTACAAACACACAGGTAAGTTTATAATAACCAAAGTTAAGTAGTTTGTTCATAATCGAAGAAATCCGTTTAAAATTTACGATGAATCAGACAGTAATATTTATCTGCGCCGGACACATAAAAGAGTTTCATTTCTCTCTTTTTGTTTTATTTTATTGTTATCTCTCTTTAAGGGCTGTTAGTAATATTGGTGTATTGTTAATTCCTAGAATACCATTTTATTATAAATCCCCATTTGGGCATTCATAAAGCATTCCAGATTTCATCCCGTTTCCAGAACAGTTACTCTGCTTGTTGGACGTCACGTGGGGGTTGGATGGCGGAATAGTTAGCGCGTGCGCGTTGTATCATAAGGTATGTCATTGAGTCAACTGGCGTGGTTTCGATTCCCCGGTTGTACGTGTAATGTGACAAGGAGTAGGGTCGCCTGTCCAACCTCGTAGGTTTTCTCCGGGTCTTCCGATTCCTTCTCATTCCTCAAGACTCCTAAGCGCTAGCGAATTATTAAAATAAAATTTAACCACATGTTAGTCCCGAAATAACCTAGTTTGTGTCGAGTGGAAGTTAAACCCTATTTCTCTCTCTCTCTCTCGCTTTCTATCTATCTCTCTCTCGGACTTCACGTTCTCCGTATATGATGTTCAGTGTTTCCAGTAATAAATATATTCAAGGATAATCCCAGTCTTTAGTTATTACTTCTCCAACCGCCTGGATAGCCTATAGATGAATATGATCTAGCTGCATTTCATCCTGTTCTAAATTTTTACAATTCTTTCATTTCAGATGGTATGAAATCTAAACTAAAAAACGAGAAATTCGTTGAGTTTTCAAAATAAATATTAATTGACCAAACAATTCATTGTGTTTTCTTATTTTATTGTCAGTGATGCAGGACGGAGGGCCTGACAAGGACAGCTGACTAGTCGTTCGGATGGGACGAAATCTGAGGTCCCGTGTACGCATTGGCGTGCACGTAAAAGATCCTATGGCAGTTGGAATTTGATATACTGATGATAGGGACATACATACCCTAACTGCAGACCCACATAAATCGTTAAATACCAAATACGAAGGTGTGGAGAATAACAAACGTCCTGTTATATCAAAGTATTTAGAACCAAGATATAAAGCATTGTTTTTCAATGCAAGGGCATTAGTATTAAAGGAGCTAAATTGCTAATATTTGGGACATGGACATTGATACAAATGGGTCGCAACGAATATAATAATGTAATATGAATCTATATAAACTGATTTACATTCAATCGTTTCTGTATTTATTATAATTTCTATGAAGTTATGTTCGACAAAATACGCCGGGAGTCTCAATCGAATGGCAATCTCTAGCGTCTGATTATTCCAGTCTACACTGATAGTTCTTATTGCGTATGCTCTCTAGATAAGAATATAACTTGTGGAATATGCCTAGCCTCGTTCTTCGGGTCCCTTATTACAAATGGCATTGAAACGCATTATGGTACACGATTCCTGTACCAATGGTAAAATGTTTATTTTGTCTTAAATATTGGATATCAGAAGGCCATTTTTTCCAGGTAAGATTACAATATCAATGTTGATTTAAATTGACAAATAATTCGTGTTTTCAATGTCGAAGATTTCGGATGATATTGATTTAGAGACTTGGCTACTTTAAGAATGAACCGGCCCTCTATTCCACAGAACCGATACTAGGAAAAACGGAAGAGCCATTGACATTTTGGAAGATTAATCGTCATTGCTATCCGAAAATGACCAAGTTAACTTCGAAATATTTGTGTGCCCACCTTCTAGCGTACTCGATGAAAGGCTGTTTAGCGAGGCGGGTGATTTGTACGATGAGAAACGGAAAAGTCTACATCCCAACAAGGCTGAAATGCACCTAACAATTTGTGGAAATTACGAGCGATTAAACTTTTAGTGGGTGTATGGATGATTATCTTTAAAAGACAAACTGATAATACTGGATTAATAGATACTTTTTTCTTTAGTTTAATATTTATACCAGCCCGGTATGCAATGATGAGCCATTGTTGACATCTTTAGTTTTATTATCGTAAATCGTGATAGATAAATACCTATTGTGCGCACCATTGTTCATTTCATACTCATAGTTAATAAATTTAAATAAAAAATTCAATAGGCTAGTCTAATTAGGTATTGTTCTAGTTTGTGATCTTATGATGTCAGTACGCATTGAAAATAGATCGAAGGGCGACCTCCACGGCCTACTGACTGTGTTCTCCAATTCTATGATTATGATCCTCAAGATTAGATATTACAATCAAAAGTTTTATCGAGTGGACTGTTGTACGTTAATATCTGTGGACTGTTGTACGTTAACATGCACAGAAATGGTATTCTAAAAAATGGCATTCAGAGATCCGAACTCTCAAACAATAAGGATTTAACAAATAACGGAGACCGGTAAGGATTTTACACCGTTTATTCTTTCCATTTAACGGCCCCTATGAGAGTCTTGTATTACCGGTACGTCTAAATAGCAACGCGCACGGCATATCTTTTCTGTTGTAAATAATGATAATGAAAAAGACTTCTTGCATTGCAATAGACAAAACAAAAGGTATTTTCTTAAAATTATAATCCGTTATCGCTTTTTTTTATTCTTTCTAATGGTATTTAAACATTTATTTCGACAACTGGAGTCAAATTAATGACTTTGAATTTTTGACTTTTCCGTTATATTTTTACTGTTTATGGTCTTTACATGGAAATAATTGGAAAGACATTCTTACAGATTTGATTTTGTTACATTTTTGTTATTTCTAAGAGTCCTGGTGGAGGGGGGGTGGCCGAATGGTTAGCACGTGCGTGCTGTATCATAAGGCCTGTCATTGAGTCAACTGGCGTGGTTTCGAATCCCCGGTTGTACGTGACAAGGAGAAGGGTCGCCTGTCCAATCTCGTGGGTTTGCTCCGGGTCCTCCGGTTTCCTCCCACTGCTAAAGACCCCTACGCGCAAGCGAATTATTTAAATTAAATTAAAACATGTGTTAGTCTCTCTCTCTCTAAGAGTCCTACATGGCTATTGCATATACTTCCCCTTGAGTATAATGTGAAAATTTCCTTAAAAATTCATAAAAATTAGTCTTTACCGTTATTTTTACGTTTTTGTGAAAATATATTGGTATATAAATAAAAGGCATCTTCTTCATGCTCGTTGCCCCACTGGATGGCTGGAACATGCTTTGGAACACATATCTTCTTGACAAGAGAGGTGCTGGATTAGATCTTTCCGTAGAACTTCCCCAACAACAGATGCTGTTAAACGTCCTAAAGGTTGTCATGCCACACCGAACTTGTTGACTTATTGCGCATTGCCTCTTCAATGTAACTAAATTCTATGTCGTCCACTTGGGATTTGTTGACCAACGATTCACACATATCCATCAATTCTTGGTCATTCAAACGTTCATTAAAGTTGGAATATAGCTGGTGTAGTGTGGGTGGAAGCTTTGCAGATGGTGCTGACCCTACAGCTACAAATCTGTCTGCATAGTCGTTCAAGAGACTCAAACCAACTGATTTTGTTCATCGGCAGTTGACATTTCTGGGGAGATTCAAGTTTCTTCTTGGATTTCTTCAGTTTGTTCTTCAACTCAGCTTTGTAAAATTTAATGTTGGAAATTTCACAAGAATCAATGTTCTTTACAAAGCAAGCATCCCAACTACATGTAATATCTGTACAGGCAGACGATGTGTACCCTACTCTAACAGCTGCTTCCATCTTGAAAAGGGGCATGTCTTGCCGAGCCTTAAAATAAACAAATGATCAGATCTTATAGTATTTATAAATAGTTATTTTAAAGTCTGGTAAAAAATGATCTGAACCCAGCCGGAAACAAAAAATGTGTGGGCCTTAAGTGCTCTGTAGTTCTTCATAGCCTCTTGAGAATAAAAACCTAAAATATTAAATATTTAAAAATATAGTTTTAAATAAGAAATGTAATTAATTTTATAAACAGTGCATAAAATCAATAAAGCTTCATGAAGTGTGACATTAAAAATTGAAAAGAGAAGAAAGAAATCGATAATCCAGTTCATAAATAAATTTAAAATGACGAAGTAAAGAAGAGGAAGTAAAAATCTGTTTATACTTAAATAAATTCTGCAAGTAAACTTACGTGGACTTTATATTCAATTTCTAGCCATTGTTTGGGGTCGTTCAATCATTTGTCAACCGCGATCTTGTAAGGACATATTTCCAGCCCAGCAAGGTTTAATTTCGCGCTGTAACGACTATCAGCCTCCGGGAACAACTTTCGTCATGGTTATCCGACACCTTCCGCCCAACAATATGATATTAGCATAACAATGAATAAATATTTACAGTAAACTGTTGAACTTCCGGGTCATTTGATTTGTACCCCAACACAAAGATGGCGGCCTGTTATCACGTGATCTGTGACTTCACGCCGAGTACAAGAATCAGAAAGAGATACTGTATTTTGGGAATAGGGTGAAGGGTGAAGGCTATATTTGATTAAACGTATCCATTTTATTATCTGACAAGGAGGGGGGGGTGATGGTCGAATGGTTAGCGCGTTGGCGTTCAATGATAGGGTCTGTAGGGTCGCTTGTCCAATCTCGTGTGTTTTCTCCAGATCCTCCGGTTTCTCCCCACTGCTAACGTCCCGAAATGACCTAGTTTGTGTCGAGTGGACGTTCTACCCCCTTCTCTCTTTGTATAGATATTTGATGAACATTGTCTAATTTATTAACTGACGCCAATTAAAATTATCACTGTTTTAGCTAAAATGCAAAAAAGCTTTTTTAGAATGGATGTAGTTTATTAATATTTGTCTCGTGAATCTACATTTTATTGAAGTTCTAAGATACCAAATATGTCTTTATAATGAAATGAATTTTGATATAATATCCTACTTTTCTGCAGCGACCAAGTTAAAAAGGACAAGCGTACGCCATACTTTTGCCCCATTTACACTTGGCAGCGATAAATGTGCCGTTCTCGGGACGGTACCAGGCCATGATAAATTTCAAGAAATTCACCCGTTTACATTACTCTAAAATAACCGGTCTCGGAACCGTGGCAGACACACCAAAGGTGGAACTCTTCACGGAAAAGTTAATTTCAGTCCCTATGCAAATTACCCGCTTGAAAACATTTATGGGTATTGATTGAGTTTGGGCAGCCATTTTGACAGAACTGTCAAAGTTCGCGGGGAAGGAAGGTCAAGGTTCATTTGACGCATTTTGGTGACGTTAAAACCCCATTCCATTCCAGCTCATCAATCTTATATCTCAAATCAGAAACAGATAGAACATTTATTTAAATTACATGGAAATATATTCAATGATTTATTACTTGTATTTACATATATCACATTATATTTTTATAAAATAGTTGTAAGCTTTAACACCTGTGGTTCTGTTTATCACAAGTCAGTTTCAATATCAATCTGATTACAACACAGATCTATTTTTCGTTTCGTTTTTAATACTTTCGATGGTTTACACTACATGAAGATCTGACCGGCTGTAGTGGAAGGTTGTGTCAGAGCTCATATCAGCGGCGTTTTACCCTGTGACGTCAGACATTTGATTAACCAATCAGCGTTGAGGTTTTTAATGGGTTACCCATAGTTCAACGCACCTCACGCCAAAAACTCGCCGTAATAAACGTTTCATTGGCTTATCCCTCAAATCATCCAGAACGCGGGTTATATAACAATTCTTCCAGATCCTATTGTAGTAAAGACAAGTAAAACGAAATTTTGAACTATAAGAAACGAAACGAAATAGGATCTGTATTTTAATTAGATTGATTTCGATATTTGTATCGTACCAGGCAGTCTTTTAGGTGTTTTGTCCTCCTGT